AGGAATGTGATCTCAAACAAACTAACACTACTAATTTTAGGGGAAATATTTTTCTTCTTACTCTTTATCTCCCTGCTCTTGTTTCCTTGGTGTTCTATATCCCTGACATCTGGAATGAGAGACAAGAGGTCAGGATCCAGAACAGGAAACTAATTCACTGATAGGTTTCTTATTTACCAGGATATTCTCCATATCCTGAGAGACTAGTAACTATGTGAAAATGCCCCACAAACCTGAAAATTAGTTAGAGTTGCCTGGCAGGAGAGATGAGGAATACTCAAATGCGGGAGAGACCAGAAATCGGAAGAACAGTTTTAGTGATAACATTAACCAAAGAGTGGCATTAGATTGAATTTGTGTGCTGGTATGATCCATTCTACATACTTTTTTGTAAAGTAACTTTCATGTGTATTTTCTAACAAACATTTTTAATGAAGCCTAACAAAATGTGACAGTTAAGAGTGTGAAATGAGCATAAGTAGTTGTTTCTGGGTTTTTCTCTAGGTATGAACAAGAAATCAGGTGACAATCAAGAGAAAATGGTTCAGTAAAATTGCTGCAAAGATAAAACATATATGATGCTGGCTATGTACAGAGGTTGGTATTTTTAAAAAAGGATAGCAAAAATGTTTACTGTCAAAGTGAGAGGTATATATTTTGTGATGGTAGATTATTCCTTAAAACTGTTTTGTATTATAATGTATGATTACTAATGTAGGCAGTTGCTGAGGGATTTTGGTTGAGTAGAATGAGAGTTGCTCTCTTTTCTTATGAAAAACTACATTCTAACTGACTTAAAAATCACTCTTTGCTTCTGACTGACAAAATTTAGTTTACTCACAAAGATTTTTTTAAGTATTTTTATAAAAAATAATCTGATTGCCTAATCGTTTTAAGAGCCTTTTTATTACCAAAAATTATCCATCCAGAAACTGACTGGAGCAAAGCATTTTGGCACTTTTTTGAAGAGTATAGTTGTTATCTGCCTAGTGAATTAATGCATCTTACATTAATCAAATATATCTTACTGGTAAGTAGCTGCGCATGTCACCAAACTACATCTGTCAGTTTTGTGGGGTTTTTTAATAATAGATTATGGGAATTAGTGTAAGGATTTCATTACCAGTCCATGGATAAAAAGAGTGGCTCTTGGAGGTCATGGTTAACGTCCATTAATGAGAAAAAGCGCAGAGGCTTGCACAACTGATGTGTCTGCTATACCTGGCCTATGAATTAATAAAATACTTCAGCGTGCTGTCTATCTTGTAAACCTTCCAAAGCACAAAATATTCACCAAGCTACTTTTGGGTTTTCTGGTTGTAGTTCAGTGTATTTTGGAGGGTGGAAAGGGCAGACTTGGAGGATCATGAGAAACATAATACATTTTACAGATTTTTATAGCTATTTTTTTAATAAATGGCATTGCTTTCCATAACATCAAATTACTGATTAGCACAAACATCAAAGATATTTTATCTGTTGTGTGGTATAAATTAAATATGATTAAGCTCTTTCTTTTCTTTTCCAGAAGAGTCCTAAACTAAATTAGAAAGCAACAGTACAGTTATTTAAGGGATTCTTAAATCTGCCAATGTAAAAAATTGCAATAAATCTTCATTCCTATTTTTTTCTAGAATAGAAACTTCCTGGAATAAGCATTTAGCAATGCATAATTTTAATTGTTCCCCCTATTATAAAGTCAGCCATTAGAAAATATTTTGCATTTTTTTAAATCAGTTTAAAGCTTGAATTGTCAAATTTTCTAGGTTACTGAATAGTCAGTATAGTACTCTAAATGGGATTTTGTTTGGATGGGGCTTAAGTGTCCTTATATAAGCTGTGATCCAAGTAATGGTAAGAAAGACGGTAACTATGTTCTAAGGCTTCCTTGCATCTGGTCAGTGGCTATCAGTTTTTAATATAACAGCCCTCACAATGCTTAAGAGATCATAGAACATATTGTAATATTATGTTGCTGATTTTCTTTTAAGATATAAAATATTTTAAGCTTTTTGTCAAAAGTGGTAACATCTTATTACAAATAAACCTTTTTGTGGTTGTAAAATTTAGCTTATAAATCATTCAAATTGAAGTGAAAAAAGAAGGTCATTGTTAATGACTTAGTCTATCCTACTATTAAGAATATATGTATTTTTGTAAAGGAAAAGCACTTGTAGATATTTAATCTGTCCAATATCTATGTTTATGTTTTGAAAAAACAAAATGCTGCTTAGAGAATCACTTAAATATGTTTATTTTTGTGCTCAAATGCATCCTTTGTTGATTTATGGAATGTTTATTCTGTATAAAGATGTAAAGTTATTACAACTGGGCTAAATGCATTTTATATTTGGACTTAGCCAGGTCAGATATATTTGGCTACAAAATTCACTATATCATCAGAAACCTGATTACAGAATTTATTATGATGGTGCTGTTTTTCATC